ATGGAGTTCTGGGTTTTACAATTTTGTACGGTTCAGAGCCCTTTTGGGGCATCTCTGGCCCGGAGCCCGGATGTCTGCATCCGCAAGGAGTTCAGGGGTTGCGTCTATAGGTCGAGGGGTTTGCAGTTTAGGTTTTTGTTGTTTAGGGTTTTAGGGTTTAGGGTTTTAGGGTTCGGGGTTTAGCGTTTAGGGTTCGGGGTTCAAGGTCAAGGATGAAGGGTTTTGGCGTTCACGGTGTTGCGTGCGCTTCAGGGTGAAGAGCTGCGTGTTCAGAGTTCATGATTGGCCCCATACGGCTGATGATATAAATCCTGCATTACCCATAATAAGGAATATACCATTATTCCCATAGTTTAGGGTCCTTAAGGTCATGCAGGATTTATATCATCAACCGATAGGTCTAGGTTTAGGTTACGTCTGGGATGTTGATTCTGGCAAAACAGCTGCTGATGGTGCTGTTATTCTTCATAATTCCTGTCCGAACGAGGCTAAACATCACAAGGTATAGATCCTAGCACCCGCAAAGTGACCTTGTAAAGGGATCCGTACTGGCATATCAACGTGTGATCATGAATGCAAACTGATGACCCTCCGGTTGGTTATGTGGGAAAGCTTGCTGGGGATGCTTGTGAAAGCCAATGGCTCCCCAACCAGCAAGTTGGTCAACATCAGTCAGACGATGCACAGACGATGCACCCCACCCGACAGTCAAGGACTACAGCTTGGAAACCATGTGGATTAAGGTGCCCCCCCAACACCTACGAGTCCTCTCTTAAGTACCGCCGATATCACAATCGTCGCAGCTTTTTATCTTGATTCGCTAATTTCCATCCCTATCCTCATCCTTATCCTCCTCATCATCCTCATCCTCAACCTCATCCTCATCCTCGTCCTCATCCTCCTCATCGTCATCACCACCATCATCATCGGCATCTTCAGCACCACCGTCATCTGTCTCAGCAGCTGCATCACCAAACAGAGCAATGCCCCAATCACCGTTTCATGTGTGAAATCCTGCGATGCACCGGGCCCAGCATCACCACAATGTAAACACTCTGAGGCAGCAGACCAACGCAACTTGCAAAGAAACCAGTGGCAGTGCAAAGTGAAGACGCATACCGGATGCACCAACCTTATCCAAAGCCTTTGATTGCCATGATTGCCGATGCCCTTGCTAAATATGTTCATTGCCATTTTGCTCTTAGCTCCTTTACTTTGTTCGGGTGTCTGTTGCTGTTGTAGGCACGGTTGCTGCGGGTGCAACTCCTGTTGCGGAAGTGGTGGTATTCATGTTGGTATGGATGATGACGTTGGCGTTCGAAAAACACCTTCATGATTGCTGTGCAGCTGCTATCGTTTTTTGTTTATGCTTTTGTTGCTGTTATTGGTGCTGTTGTTAGACCTCTAGAAGTCCGAAATTTGAACCCTCATGGCTCTGTCACGGCAGGTCCTTGAATGAAGTCACTCCCATTTTCTCCATCGCAACGTTTTCTACCACCTCAGAAATCAATGGCGAGAGATTGCTAACCCGAAACCTTTAACCCGAAACCTGAACCCTTAAACTCAGAAGCCTAAACCCTCGCCGCAACTCTGAAGGCCACTTGAAAACTGCCGGGCTAACCTTTGGGTCCAGGTGTAGGGTTTAGGCTTTAGGTGGCTTTAGGGCTGTCGTAATGGACTCGCATGGCTGAAAGTTTGTTACCGGACAGATGGGGTTTAGTCTTTAAGATCTAGAGGCCATGCTTACTGATTCTGTTCAGGATCCCAATTCAGGCTACCATGAGCGGGATCTATGGTAAAGGATTTGGCTTTCTGTGTTAGGCTCCCCAGTAAGCGCGTACAACCCCCTAGTAATAGAGGTGCGATTTTCCGAATATTCGGTGCTTGTAAGGAGACCCCGGCATAAAAATGTGCAACAGGGTACTGCTGGGGAACCTAGCTATTATGGCAAGATAAATCAAGTTCTTCAGCGAGAGCCCAGTCTAGTGCCTCGGAATTCCTGCAAAATCGCGGACCCAGGGTTGAAGGTTTAGGGCACGTTTGGGGTTTAGGGTTTTGGGCTTGTTCGGGGCTTAGGGTTCAGGGTTTAGGGTTTAAGTTTTAAGCGGGGTTTGGGAGGAGTGGAAAAATGTTCCAACGTTCAACCATCTCAAACCTGAAGCTTTTGGGTCTAATGAGTTTGGGGTTTGCTGTTCGCTGCTGTTCGCGTAATTTCAGGTTTATGTTCAGGCTTTCAAATTAGGTTTCCCAATAGCCCGTGAATCAGGATACCGCTTGTGCCACTATTTGGCTTTCATACGTAGGCCCGAACGGAACAATGGAAAAAGGGTACTACTGGAGAACCCAGAAAGTACTTGCAGTCTCTGTCGTAGCTCCGTTATCTTGATATACCAACTTTATACTTAGGATCCTAAAACGTAAGCCAAAAAGAACTACAATGCAGACTATAGGTAATTACCTTGAACTACCAAAACCTACTATTTTGTAGGGTCCCTACAAATTCCATATGGGCTTATAGTAAGAACCTGCAATACAGTAGGTTATGGTATTGTAAGCCTTGCGATGCGCGACATGCCCCCCCAACTTGCAGGAGCTTCGGGTATCCCGACGGTTATCGGTAGCGTTACGGAGCCCTGGAAGGAGCCCTATCAGTTTTCCCTAAACCTTAAACCCCTAAATCCTAAACCCTTAAACCCTAAACCCTTAAACCCTTAAACCCGAAACCCCTAAATCCTAAACCACTAAACCCTACACCGTTATTACCCCTAAATCCTAAACCACTAAACCCTAAACCGTTATACTACCCTAAACCCCTAAATCCTAAACCACTAAACCCTAAACGCTTATACCCACAACCCCTAAATCCTAAACCCCTACACCATTAACCAGAACGCCCCGCAGTGAGTAGACCTGCTCTCCTGCCGTGCCACGCATCGCGACACCTCGGGGCGCATGATTTCCGGCCGCCCGAGCCGCACCGCCTGTGCAGGACAGCTGGGCAAGAGCCAGAACCAAACCAGCAGAGCTGGAATGCTAATCCCTAAACCCTGAACTCTGCCCTCCCTCAACCGTAAACCTAAATCCCTTAGCGAAAACCTTAAGGGTCGATGTCTCAAGACTCTTGGCCCCAAGCCTGACAGCCCAATCCCCGCAGAACCCAATCCGGGAGTTTCCGACCCTAATATAGTACCCTAAATTTAAGTAGTAGGATCCTTAGTATAAGGACCCCCAAATTAGGTACCCCTAATTTTTGGAAACTCCCATACAAACTAACACGAAAGCTTCTCCAAGCACCACCCTGGCGACCAGCACCTAAGCCCTGTGAACCACAAATCCTAAACCCTAGCGGGTTTAGGGTTTAGGGGTTTGGTAAAGTTTAGGGTTTAGGGTAGCCCCTTCGTAGGGGCCTGATAGAACACAAGTCTCAGGTCAAAACACAACTGAGGAGGCGTGCATTTACTGGTAGCAAACACCTGCATAGTACTTCAGACAACAAAGGTGCCCCCCACGTGCACCCTAAGACCACGATCCTGGTTGGAAGGAAACCTAACTCGAAACATGACGTGCAGATACAAATCAGGCTGCTTTGATGCCGGCCGCGACGAGACCCTCAACGAGGTTATCCACCTCGGATATGGTGGGCTGCTCCTTGTGGTCATGGCTTTGCATAGTAGGAGCGAATGCGGGTGCTATAATTGCAGAAGGCAGTATGGGCATTTATCTTACGGTTTCATATGCGTATCTTATGCCGAGGGTTCTACTTACTATGTAAGCACTGTCTCCTGGGATGTCTTAAAGACCTGTTGAGACTGTATGTACGAGTAACAGTACGGGTAGAAATAGCAGGAACAGGAGCAGCAGTTGCAAGAATAGTAGCAGCAGTAGTAGTAGTAGTAGCAGCAGTAGTAGTAGTAGCAGCAGCAGCAGCACATGGTGGCACTAGGAGGCTTTCATGTTGCAGGCATAGGACACCCATGAGATCGACGCAAGCATGCCAAACAGGCAATCCTAAACCTCAAGCCTTCTACCCTCTCAACGATAACGACAAGCTGCGGCAATGTTCGATCCGCTGGTTGCCAGGATGCCGGTCGTCTTCTTCCTCTGAGGGGTTACGGGTTTGGATTCTTTAGGGTCTGAAGAAGGGTACTATCATCATGGGTTGCTATAAAGGTTGCACGAGTCAAATAATGCACGACCCTAAACCTAAACCCTTCAGCGCTTGAAAGGCTGACAGCTGCATGCCCTTGCACTGTTAATTCGGCACTAAAGCTATGTTCCCCAGTCACCCCGTAATAATAATAATAACAATAATAATACTACCTGGTAAGCCTGGAAGCCGTTAACAACCCGTAGCATCCTCAATTCTGTATGAATCTCAGGAGTTGAAATACAATTCTGGCTCCGGGTCGACTTTTGGCGTTCGGACCCGTTCGGGGCTTCTCAAGAGAGCCCAGGCCTGAGATTTCAGATGTGGGGTTTGGGTTAAGATTGCCGCTTTCAGCTGCCCAAAAGCAGAAACCATGCACTCCTGCCAAAATCGTTCAATCATATATGATATAAACCCTATATAAGGCCCTATAAGCCCTCGAAGGCCTATATAAACCCTAAACAACAGGAGCCCTGTAAACACATGTAAGCATATATAGGCACACCCTAAAACCCGAAGCCCTAAAGAGCAAAAAACCCTACACAAACGAGCCCCAAACCCGAAACCCTAATTCTAAGCCCCCGAAGAGCCCTAAAGCCCCAAAGAACAACAAAGCCCATTATAAACCGTTAACCCGAAGCCCTGACCTCACGCAGACAACAGTCCAAATAACCGGAGAAATCACAGCTAAACCCCACTCTTGATGTCGTTTTCGTCGCCTACGAGATGATCGGTGGCACGGCGGTGAAACTGCCTCGCTTGTGGGCTTGTGCCGAAATCACATTGGGCTGCATGCTCCTGGTGCAGGGTGATTTTGTGTTTCAAGGATTTGTAGAGTGTTTTGGCTTGAGCCATGGCCCAGAGAACAGCGAGTTCTCATGCGGAGGCCATGGAGGAGGGGGCTGCAGGTTGCGATTACTCTTTGGATGGTCTTGCTGGGTCTTGGGACAATTGTCCTGACATCAGACGACGGCTTCGCTCGGACCAGAATCTTCTGGTTCACTACTGCACGAAACTTCGGAAGAGTTTCAATTGCAAAGTGGAGGTTACGATCGCGAATGTACGGGAGAATGCCAAAGTTCTTAGACCCGTCTGCAAAATCATTGCTATCCATGGCTGCCCTCCGAATATAGACAGGCTGATGGTGCAGGTGCAGGATGTTTTGAATGAGAACAATGTTAAGTTGACGGGAACGACCGTGTATGATCAAGCCTGGGCCATTCGATATCTTATTGCCCTTGTGAAGAAGAACAAAAAAAAGAAATCGTGGCAGGAGGACTCTTTTGTGAAACATAAATGTATGCACACAAGCCCTTCCATCTATATAGATGCTATATAATCGCCACTGTCCTGCAGGATCCCGCCACTCGCCAGCTGCTCATGGACCTGGGATTCTTGAGTGCCGAGGCACGGGCTGGTGTGGTTACATATTGACAAAAGCCCCCGACCCGGTACCCTTGTAGCACTATGTACGCCTCACCCTGTAAAACCTTAGCTGGAGCTTCCTCTCAACTTCTCACCCTATAGACCTCTAGATAGTTTAGATGTGTCACACCTTCCCATAAATCCGAAAAGGAAGATGAACCGGTGCCCTCAGTGAAGGACTTGCTAGGGTTCGCAATTAAGCTTTTTGTGTTTTCGGTACCCTGTAATAAACTTAAGTCGGCCCTCAACCCTGGAACCCGAACCTTTAACCGGTGTGCAAGGGCATTCGGGTTCCAGATTGATCTACATGGTGTCAATTGCCTCCTGCCTTCCCAGGACAGTGGCGAATCTGCAGCAACCGCATCAAAGCTTCCAGAAGCACCGGCATCAGTCGTGGCAAGCACTCCAGAACCACCCGCATCATCACTCGTGTCGAAGACTTCAGAAGCGCCGGGTTCACTCGAGATTGCATCCCAATCACTCGTGTTGGAGACTTCAGAACCACGGGCATCACTCGACCTCGCATCCCAATCACTCGTGCTGGGGACTTCAGAGGCAGTGGCAGCGGCATCACTCGACATCGCATCCCAATCACTCGGCTTGGCAGTGGCACCGGCATCACTCGACATCGCATCCCAATCACTCTGGTTGGAGACTTCAGAAGCACCGGCAGCGGCATCACTCGACATCGCATCCCAATCACTCGGCTTGGAGACTTCAGAAGCAGTGGCACCGGCATCACCTGGCATCGCATCCCAATCACTCCGGTTGGAGACTTCAGAAGCAGTGGCACCGGCATCACTCGTGTTGGAGACTTCACTGGTGGCAGAGGACACATTGCCGGTGAAGCTTTATCGCAGTATCCATGCAGGTAGACACACACACATGTGTACAGGATTTTTGATCGGGCTCCAGGGCTTCTTGCTCCAAGCCACATCAGTTGGCCCATTCCTCGCAGGAAGCTGGTACATCTTCGCAGTCGATGGCTGCCATTCCTTTGGCTTGTCAGGCACGGGAGCATTCCATGAGGGTCTTGTTTGTTTCAGCTTCGCCGATTTGCGGCCGGGGGGGGGGCTGTGCAGCATTGCATCGCAGGATCCGGATAGACCCGTAAGGAGGCCTATAGGTTGAACTCAACCCTACACGCCTCGGTTTTGTGTGATTTCGGGAGTTTAAAGAACTTTAGGGTTTTGAGGCTTATAGGATTTGCTGATTTGGTGCAGGCTTATAAGGCTAGGTTGTTGTCGGGTTCCGGGGCTTTGGGTCCAAAGGTTTAGGGTTTGGCTTTGGGTCCAGGGGTTTAGTTTATAGGTCTGTTTGTTTGCGAGGAGGTCGTGTCGTCCGATGAGGAGGAGCTTCGCTTGGCCAATAGCACGAAGGAGCAGTTGGTCGATGTGCTTCGTGGTCTGCTTTCCCAGGGGACGATACTTCGCGGCATTAGCATGATGTAGGTTTGGGGTTCTAGCCTATAGCCCTATAGGGACCTCACGTTTCTTGAAACTGATCATTTAATTTATGTATATTAGCCTATATATGCTAAACTGTAAAACCCCTTAACCCTGCAAGCCCTCTCATCCCTGAAGCTTTGGACTCATCCGAAATCGAACAAAGACCCGCAAGTAGCCTCTGAGCCCAACAGTGCTTTAGAGCACGATGCTATAAGGCTTGCTAAGGCTGCTAAGATTTCTCAACCTTCGATAGACCGATCCTTTTGAACAACAGTTCAAGCTTTTGGTCTTAGATGATTGATGTCCTCAATGTGAGTATGCAAAGCCTGCGAACACCTGATATATAAGTATATATGTTAGCCTTAAAGCCAATGGTGAACTTCTTCCAGCTCAGGTCTTCTGCAGCCGTGGCCCCGATGACGGTGGTTGAGCAGCCAGCTGCTGCAGTCGTGGCCCCAAGGGCAGTGGTTCAGAAGCAAGCGACGCCGCAGCACAGCACCTCGGATGTTCGGTTCGTATGCAATCAGGTTTGTGGTGTGGCTCAATTAAGTAAGTGAGGTGCTGCTATGGGTTGTGTGGTTGTTGCTATAAAGCAAAGTAGAGGTGCTCCTGTGGATCGTGTCGTTGTTCCAGACTCACTTCCTTTCGCTGGGGACAACGATGGCACGCAGATCCCCTTCAATCCTGAAGACTACATTGCAACTCCCTATGCCCAAGATCTGCTGGCACGTGAAGATGCCTCGCTGGCAGCAGTGCCCAACATCCAGCAGCATGGCCAAGGTGTTCCTGAGCAGGACCGGCTATGGGTTCATTATGCATGGGTTGCAAAGTTGTTGGTTTCATACTTTACCTATATACTTTGATCTGCCTTAACCGGCCAGGAGGGACCCCCGCCCGAGACTGCTACTGGATTGCCGGAGTCGGAGTTCCCTGAAGTTCCAGAGCATGAGGTCGTTACCAGGCGGGATCAGTTTGCTGCCAAGGATGCTCTGAGTGGCCGGGGACGAGGGCGAGGGCGAGGCCGTGGCGGTCGTGCGACGGCGGCTAAGAGCAAGATTTTCAGGAAGGCTTCGGATGGCACGCTGGAAGGTGGGAATAGTTCCGGTAGTACGGGGCCGGTCGAGGCGACATCGCAGCTCCGCCGCAAGCGACCGCTTCAGGATGCAGAGGAATCGGAGCCCAAGGGTGACGAAGATGAGGAGGACGATGCCGAGGAGCATGAGGACGATTCGGGAGAAAGGGGCGACGACGGGGCTGCCTCGAGAAAGCGAGGCCGACCAAAGGCCAAGGCCTCTGCAAAGGCAAAGGCCAAAGCAAAGGCCAAGGCCTCTGCAAAGGCCAAGGCCTCTGCAAAGGCCAAGGCCAAAGCAAAGGCTGCTTCAAAAGCGAAGCCGAAAGCCAAGGCGAAAGCACGTGCCGAGCAGGATGCATCAGAGGACCCAGAAGCAGTGGAGAGCCGCCGGAAGAGGAAGGCACCGGTTCCCGCACAGGAGAAGTTTCAAGCTGCCCAGAAAAGGACGGCAAGCTTGCTTCAGTCCATGCAGAAGCCGGCTCCATTGGTTTTCGGGGAGGTTGCCCACGATCGCCCATTGCCTAACCCGGAGCACATTCGGCAGGTCCTTATCTTCGAGATCATGACTTGCTTGGCTTCGTGCAACGAGCTGGGGAAAAAGGCCAAGCACAACCACCTCGACAAGCTGGTGTCGCCATCGTGCGACATGCGATTCGAGTTGTATTGGAGCAGGGCCTCCGTGGGCATCAAGGTCAAGGGTTCGGGAGAAAAGGACTTCAAGCAGGTCGTGTACTTCTCACGCCCGACGGTGTGTGTTGGGTCCAACATGATTCTTGCAAAGTACTGGGTTGCCTGGCTATGTTCGTGAGTCATATACAGTTACAGAATCTTCGAATCGTGTTTACTTTCTGGGCTTTTGGTTGATCCTCTACTTTATGTACCAAACCCTATTAACCCCTACAAGACTATATAAGCCCTATATGAACCCGATTAAAAACCTAGACACAGTAGTCCTCCCAATAATGCATTCACCCGAGGCTCAGCTGATGAATGTGCTCGGCACCGCCACACCGCCTGATTGCCGAGCTTTGAGCCATTACAAGGCAGTGTCTTCGACTGCACATGCTGAGGCTCTGAGTGGCTGGGGTGTTTAAGACACTCTCCAGGTCTGGCGCTTTTTGTGTCACCAGCAGCTTTTGGCCTGTGGTGTAAATCATGTTAGATTAGGGAGCACATACACATGAAATGTACCTCAAAGCCTTATATGTACTGTTCCTATAGCAAGTCTGCTGGCCAGCTGATACATGTGGCTTCTTGTCTGAATCACAGGTATGCTGCTGTGCAGGGTATGGTTATGTGATCATGTGCACACAATGTGTGGACGTGCCGGGTGTTGTAGCTTTCGAACATCCAAACAAATTCGCTTAGAGACAATGCCGTGGAGTGCCGGGGTTAAGGCAGCAGCTACGGTGCAAATCGTTCCCGATGTGCAATCCGAAAAACTCCGTGAAAAGGCCGAGAGTGCACACGACCTGTTGGCCTTCACTCGTTGTTTATATACTTGAATAAGCACCCACTCCTGCCAGGTGAGATGCCGAAGAGATCCCGTGGCGATGCAGAGAACCTTCTTCTTGATCGCATGGCCGCCTCGATTTGGGTGGAGTGTACATATAAAGGAGTTCGGGTTTCGGCATTCCGGGGCCCTAAAGCTTCCGAAGGGTTTGTTGTGGGGAAACATATTGTCTTCATATATCGCTCAGTAGTATAGGTCCGAGCCTCTACATATCCTCTAAACCCTGAACCCCAAAACCCTACACGCCACAGGGTCTTCTATGGATCGGCATGTGTGTATGTGTTTGTGTTATTGGGGGAGGGTTCTGGTTGCATCCTTATATACAGTAGAAGCCAGAAAGTTGGAACATGGCTTTAGGATGATTACAGTGCTATAGGGTCTCTTGTACTTTACCTTATAAGGGCATGAGGATAATGATGTTCCAACTTTCTGGCTTCTACTGTAGTGCAAAGACAAGACAGACACACTGCCGGAAACCACACATATACGTGTCTGTCAGAGTTGATGCATGTTGTATGTATAACAATGTACATGTTACATAGGTGTATTGTATTGATGCACAAATCCATGCATAAACCGGTGCCCCTCACGCATACGGTTTTCACTGCTGTTCAAATATATCGTGTATATGCAATTTACACATGTTAGTATGTTTGTGCCTGTACTCTGTACCGTGGATTCGCTTATCAGTTTGTCTGTGTGTATATGCCATGTATCCCACAAGGTTGCCTCGTGTTTCCTAGCTTTGTGAATTCGGGGTAGGATCTATCGGGTATATATAGACAACAAGGCTTTAGGCTGATAGGGTTTATACACCGTAGGGTTTATACGGCTCATGTATTATAGAGTTTGGGGTTCCAGGGTGTGTAGGGTTTTTGTTTTCCTTGAGAATTACAGGGTTTCGAGTCCCAAGATGCTGAGTCCAGCAGCCGAGAACACAACCCCCCTTTGACCCCTCAGGATGTCCTATATAATCCATTATTGAAGGCGTTGCTTGGATTCTTGAAACCCCAGAATAGCCCTAAACCCTGAACCCCGAAAGACTGTACATATGCCCCAACATCTACGACTCAAGCTCGTAGCCTGATCTTGTAAGTATGAACCCTACATGGCCCTGTACTATGAACCCTGGCCCATACAAACCTTATAAGCTACAGACCGGAAGCTGGAAACCCACACGCAGACAAAAAACTGAAGCCCTAAAGACCAGATGTACCCCAACACCTACAATCCGACTTGCTGCAACGGCTTGCTTTGTCCCACCAGCCTGCTTTGAAGTGTCCGGTCGTTGGACAGGGTATCTTGATGTGTAATTATATAGTGTACATATGCAGGGGTAGACCAATTTTGGGACTTAATCTAGATCCGGCCGCTAAATAGGGGGTTGCAGGAAGGATATCTCCGTGTGCAAGCCATGGTCGCACATGTCTGCCCTGGTTTGCTAATCTCCGTCGCAGAAGCAACAGAAGCTTGACGGCACCGTGGACAGGTCCGAAAGCCCCCATCCTATCCCCTTCATGCAGATAAGAGCCCTCGCTTCATCCCAGGTCGCAGTGGCAATGGTCGTGCTGCTCCAGGGCACCAAGAACCTGGGAGCTTTGGTGTGAAAATGCGGCTTCCTGGGGGTCAAATACTGTAGCTGGCTCAGCTTGAGCTTCAGGTTGTGACTTTCTTCAATGATGGTTGCACATATCACCGGTCCTCGGATGCAATCCATGTCGGTGCCGGTGCAGCACGCAGCCCTGTTGTTGTTTCCTTTTAAACCCTATAAACCCTAACTGCTGAACCCTATAACCCTAAATCCTATAAATCCTCTAAACCCTATAAACCCTAAACCGTGTGTCTGGTCTGTCTGGTCTGTCTGCTCTGCCTGGTCTGCCTGGTCTGCCTGGTCTGTCTGGTCTGTCTACCTATCTCGCTCTGTATCTCTCTGTCTCTCTCTGTTCCTCGTTTTCTGGTCCCTCCCTTCTTGCCCAGGTGGCCAGCGAGCCGAGCAAGTACGTGCAACCGAGTGGCGACCGAGCCGAGCAAGCAAGCACCTGCTCCTGAACGGCAGGTGTCGTGTAGGATGGTCTGTGCGGCTGTGTTGCCCTTCCCCAGAAACCTTAAACCCCAAACCGGTCAAGGACCCTCACTTTCACATCGTGTACGGTTTCCTGACGACCACTGCATTGCCCGAACAGTGTGAGCCCTAAACCCTCTGTAGGCAAGCTATCTTCTCGACATCGATATTCTGGCGATGCATGTACTCCGAACCTGCAGAAGCCTCACAAAGACCGGAGCCCTAGTATAGGGCTTTTTAGACTTTGCCTGTGTGTAGTCAGGTTCGAGATTGTGCACCTTTTTGTTGTTTAGAGGCCATAGACAGGGTATATTACAGTATATATACAGGATATTAAACTCCCGACACCAAATCTATATTATATACATAAATGGATATGATGCAACAACAAAAAGGCTGCACAATCCGAACCCAAGTTCTATAGTCTGTGTGGAGGTGTTGTGTGCACATGTAAGATCCATGGGATGGTCGCCCTGCACTGCAATACCAATCTATAGTTGTGAAGCAGTAATGCTGGTGTCGCAGATTCTTGGAAAGCCTTGTTTTCTGCAGATCTGCTGTCTTTCGCATTGCTTACTAGAACCCAAGCTGCTCCCAAACTCTCAGAATGCCCTGAAGTCTGGAGAGAGGGTTTGTGATAGGGTGAAGGATTCAGTGTGTATACAGGGCTGAGATAATATAAAACCTCTACACCTAAACCCCTAAACCCCTAAACCCTGACCCTGAATAGGCTAAGGCGGCTAAGGGTCTAGAGGGCTAGAGCGGTTCAGTTGGTTTCAACATGCAGCTTGGAGTCTAGATGGCTTTGGGATGTTTTGGATCCCGACTAAATGCAGCTGAGGGGCTGCTTGTGCAGGAATACTATTTATGTTCGGTGGCTGAACTGAATCATTTCTTGTCATCGACTTGATACTACCTGATAGCTCTTTTGTCTCACTATACGTTTGGGTGGACTAGACAGTTTTATTTGGAGGCTGGGCCTGGGGCTTCCCTGGCTGATGCTCAGGATCCTCCCTTTGATTTTTCGTGTCGGATTTTGGGTGCTGATGAGGGCCTCCCACTACTGGACCAAGTCGGGTCAACAAGATTTTGGGGTCATGCTCATGATGCTCGATCGGTTGGAGTAATGCTATCAACATCTATAGCAAAATGCAGTTTAATAAAGTTTAACCATTTGAGAGGGACCCCCCCCACCATCCAGCCCCGACCCCCCACCCCTGAAATTATGTGGAGGAAATGTAGTCGAGTTCTTGAACTACATTTGACTCCGTCGCAACCCGCTGAAGATCCTCAACCCCCGGGTACCCACCCCCGCCCGAAAAGGGAAGGGATCACCACCTCCCGGACACCCATCCGTCTTTGTGGTGGGCTTTTTGTTGCTGGCTTTGGACCACCCAGCCTCTCCAAGAGACGGCCATAGAAGCTCCAACCCACCTGGCTGGGTGGGTGGAGCTTCTGGCTGACTTTTGAGGAGGCGGGCCACGCCCCGGCACCCCAAAACACGCCACGGCTTCCGAAACCCAGCCAGCCCGGCCCCCAGCCCAGGCAGCCAGCAGGGATGGTGAAGCTTTTTGCTGCTTTTTTGCTGCTTTTTCGCATGGTTTTGCATCTCGCCCCAACAAACCCGTTCGGACCCGTTCGGGCCCGTTCGGGACCCGTTCGGACCCGTTCGGACCCGTTCGGACCCGTTCGGAGGCCAGCTCAGACACGCAAAAATGACGCCTCGAACCCGTAAGCGTTCAAAAGGCGTTCGAAAGGCGTTCGAAAGGCGTTCGAAAAGCGTTCGCAACCCGTTCGCAACCCGTGGGCGATTACGGCTTTATTGCGCCTTTGACCCGTTCGGACCCGTTCGGCGACCGGACCCAATTTGGCTCCATTCGGGGCCTCCACGGGCAGCCTCAGGCCCCATTTTGCTGGCCGGCAGCCGAACAGAACACATTGTGTCCTGAAAAAAAACCAAAATGCCCCATTCTATACCACCCCAGAAGACTGAAATCATTGATTTTATACGACCCAACACCAAAATGCTTCATTCTCTACCACCCCAGAACACTGAAACCATTAATTTTATACGACCCAACACCAAAATGCATCATTCTATACCACCCGAAACCGCAAATTGCTTAATTTTCGACGACCCGAATTAGCAATCGCTCTGTTCTATGTGGTTACAATGCCAATATCTTAAGCTGCAAAGATTGAAGTTGATGAAATGTGTTCAGTTCAGCCACCAATTCGATATGGAACTGCACTGAAACCTGCAAGGGAACAAACACATGTAGTCCTGAGTTTGCATTGCAGCAGAGAGTCTCACACGGCAGTGTTCGACCGTTCCGTCACTTGTGTCAACTCGTGCATTCTCTGCTCTCAAGTCAAGTTTTTCTAGTGGCATTTTGCCGTGGGTTCGGGAACTATGGGGGACTTCAAGTCAGCAGCGGCCCTTCAAAAGAAGTGGTCGGAAGATGATCTGGCCAAAGGGGCCGCTTTAGCTGCTGATCTTGCTGGACTAGAGCTGGCTATGGACCCTTGCTTCCTTAGCAGGGAGGCTTTGATTCAGGCCATTCAGGACCCGTTCATGTTTGAAAGCCCCAAGTGTGTTTGCTCATGATACCTACATGTGACATTATATAGCATCCTCTCCAGAAACACATATCCGCAAGGAGGCCAAAGCTGTGCTGAAAAACCCCAAGGCCTCGGGACCCACCACATTTATGAACCACCCATCTGCCTGGCCACGCAGGCTGGCCACTCCAAGCTGCTCTCTGTGAAGAAAGAGACCCCAGCCGTCCAGATGAAGGCCGATCCTGATTCGCAGGAGACACAAGCCGCCGAGCAAAGACAGCATATAAGAACCCTAGATGTAAACACATGCCCTCTGTACATCCTAAAATCCTAAAATCCTTCCGAACTTCTGCTTAGGAAGCCACAAACCCTCGCACCTGATCCCGGCCCTCGAGATCCCCAAACGTGTAAATATAGTGTTAATCAGTTGATCTGTTGGCCACAGAACAACCCAGGGTCTTGGTTCTTATGGAGGTGTTCTGTACATCTCTATGTAAGCCCTTATAGCCACCCTAAACTCCAAACCCCTCTCAACCCTATAGATAAACCCAGTATCGACCCAACCGCATCCTTTCAGCCCGAAAAGCCAGCCCAGGACACCCAGGCCATCCAGAGGCAGTTCATGGCCCACCCGGTCGGGAACAATCACCATGTGCCTTTGCTTCAAATACAGACAGACACGAAGTGGATGTATCGAGCTTGGTTTTCGTAACCCTGTGCAGCTCTATACACATAAGAAGCCCTGAGTGCTGCAGGCGAAGATGACACCGGCTCCTGCTGCACTCAAGCAGGGACCTCTAAGATCCCCGCAGCCACCCGAAGCCTCAAAAGCCGTCCCCAGCAATCCTCAGCCAGGCCTCGCAGAGACTCCCCAGCAAGCCCCCGCAGAGAAGCAGCAGCCCCAAGCAGTCCGCCCGAGCAGTCCTGAGGGCAGCACACACAGTCCCCAACAAGGCCCCGCAGAGAAGCAGCAGCCCCAAGCAGTCCGCACGAGCAGTCAGGGCAGCACACAGAGTCCCCAACAAGGCCCCGCAGAGAAGCAGCAGCCCCAAGCAGTCCGCCCGAGCAGTCCTGAGGGCAGCACACACAGTCCCCAACAAGGCCCAACAGAGAAGCAGCAGCCCACACCAAGCAGTCCTAAGCAGTCCCAAGCACTCGGCAGTTCTAAGGGCATCGCAGAGACTCCACAGCAAGGCCCGGCAGACAAACCGCAGCAGCCCGCAGCAGTCCGCACGAGCAGTCCCAATGCAAAAGCACAGCAGATAGATGTAGCTGCTTTGCTGGATCAGATTCAGCAACTGCAGAACCAGGTCGCAACCATGCAGTCTGGCGGAAAGACCCCCGACAACAGTCTCGCAACACCTCAACACAGACTGCTGCGAAAGACACCCAGCCCAGCACCCAGTTCAGTCGCTCGCTCAAACACAGCAACATCGGGGCTCGAGAGTGTAACCGAGAGAGAAGAGAGTGAAGGGGAGGAGGCAGAGGAAAAAGAAGATTCTAAAGTGATGGTGGTGTCGCCCGACGGCACAGTTGCAACCCGGCTCAAATCCAAGATCCGCTTTTCAATATGTGTCACATAAATGATTGCATGCATCATTCCCTTGACGGCTAGTGCAGCCGAGACCATTTCACAAGATGCACTACGGATGCGACTTCGCCGACTCTGCGAATTGAAACCCAAGACCGGGAAATCCCACGTAGATGAGGATGTTCGTACTCAGTACCAGCAGGGCGGCTCAGGCCGCGAGTGGCTGGAAATGGCATTGCTGGAAACTCTGCAACAAAGCGGGCTGGACAACACAAGGGGGGCCCACAAGAGGCTCGTGGCACCTAGTCCGGATTGTTGACAGAAGTGATCTGCAAATTGATGCACCCGCTCACCCTATAAAAGAAGCCAAGGCCACCTTTCGCACCTCAGTGAAAGTGATCCGCGAGAGGATGGAACTGAAAGAGCGAGAAATCAGTGGAGAATGGATGACGGAAGAAAGGATGCAGAAGTCCGGGGACTACAGCAAGCAGCTTTGTTCAGCAATACTTCTAACAAAAAACCCATAAACCTTGTAGGTGCTCCAAAAAAACTAAACCCCGAAACCCTAAACCCCGAAACCCTAAACCCCTAAACCCGCAACCCTAAACTGTGTGTGTGTGTGTGTGGGCTGTGTGTGTGTGTGTGGGCCGCATGTCATAAGGATGGAGATCAAGTCGATCATAGCCTACTGTTCGAAGTTTCCAGAAGCACTGTGCCGGCATCTTGAATGCATTCATTCATCCTATTCATCATGTATGTGTTTGGTTTCAGTCAAAAGCTCCTGACCTTGTTGCTGCATCTAAGCAAATGGAAGTACAACTCCAGTATACTGGAGTACTTCGTGGAGACTTCCACCAAGCAAGTGATCAAGCAGTCCGAGCTCATGAAACGACACGAACATACACAGCTTGGAGATGCCTGGCCGCAGGAAGCTCTGACACGCATGTGTATTTCCGAAAACATATAGTGTCACAGACCTTAAACCCTAAACCCCTCACTTGCTTATAGGTCATGGAATCTGATGCACCGCCTGCAGAACCGGGTGACATGCAATGGACGGACGAGACAGGCCTTCACCCTGTTCCCGACAATGTGTCTTCGAAGGCACCAGGGGAAATCGTGTCTGAATCCTAGGCTTCCCTCACCCTGAACCTCGAATCCTGAAGCATGGTCGCTCTCGCCTCAGACCCTCCCGGACCTCGTCAAGTTCATGGACACAATCCATGGGCACATGGTGAATATCGGCAAGTCACAGAAGATGATCCAGGAGTCGGACGAAGGTAAGATGTCTCCGGCAAAGGCAGAGTCTTTCAGCCTGGGATTAGTTCATATAGGGTAAAATTGTGGAGGCCTAAGGGTTCAAGGGTTTCAGGGTGCAAAGGTGTTTGAGTTTATGCTGGATTTTTTATATAAGGCTTTGGGGTTTTGCGGGATTTTGTGGACGACCTTCTGAGCTCGCACAAGTCTATAAAGCCCCACGCATCTATCTACCCTATAAACCCTACAGAAACCACTAAGCCGTAAATCCCTATAAGCCCCTAAACCCTATATAAGTCCCCACAAACCCCACCATCAACAATAGCGCCGATAGGGGCCCGAAGCTTTGCCAAGCTGCTGCTTTACATCCTGTCCTTGCTGCTTCCCTGAACCCGAACCAGGCCCGGCTACCGGCTAGGTGCCCCAAAACAATCGTCAATTGAAAACCGTATTCCCCAAAAAAGGCTACAGAACGTGTGTCGGATTGGACATAGCCAAAGACTCATCCCAAAACCGAGGTTGCAGAAGGACCTCCAAAAGATCGAGGACTCCTTCCAGTCCTTCTACCGTGAGCTGGCCGAGTTCAAGGCTGAGCTGATGCTGAAGGAGCAAGAGGTTGCTGATGACAGGTTTCTCGGTCGGCACTTACATACATGCATGGCTGCGATACAAATGTGGATGAGTTCTCAAGCACGCCAGTGTGTGACAGTTTTGTTCAAGTTCCCGAACAGGGTGACCACGTGCTTTTGACCATGTGAGACAGCGATAGAATGTTTTAAGTTGGCCACTTGCTACTTGCTTTATGAATGGCTCCTCGGCTTTGAGCTATGCCCGGTGAACAAGACGATGAAGATGCAAGCTGGTTGGAGGAGCTCCTTGAGTACACTAGGGAGTCTTGTCTCAATAATCCATAGCCCATCGCATGCATCTTTAGGTCCACTCTCACCCGAAAAACCCGAAGCTGTAGCCCTTAAAAGGCCCAGAGAAGCTCGCTCGAGCCATCATCCTCGACGTCAACGGTGGTGCCAGCAGCTTGGCCTTGTAGAGACGGATGGATTCTTTTGTTTGGTGTTTGGCTGTTGGGTTGCACTGGCTGCAAAGCCTAGGTGCAAGAGACAATCCCCGACAGTTTGACCCTCCGCTTGGATTCGACGATATTGAGTTTGCCGAGAACCCGTCAGGTGTTCGAGAAAATGCTGTCCACGCAGGAGTTTATCATCAAACTGCCCAAGGCAAATGCACTGGCAGGTCAAGTGATTCGACACGGGGTCAACATCATCGAGGAGACTTTGAGGCTCCACGGACCCATGGTTTACAAAATCGGCTTCTCCTACAACCCATACAACAGGTGGTATAACAAATCCTTTGGCTACAAGTTCGAAAAGCAACGATGGCAGCACATGACTATCATATACGTTTCGAGCGAAACAATGGGCCCGGCTTTCCTCGAGGATGCCCTCATACAAAGGTTCAAAGGCCCCTCGCTTCAATGACAAGTACATAAAGCTCTCGGAATGCAGTTTCGTTGTTGGTTAGGAACCTCGCAATCCAAACAACTATCCAAGGTCAGCAAGGCTGCCGCAACGAGAGAGATGGTGGGGACACGGTGTGTGACCACTTGGGAGGGCCTTACTTCACATACTTCGTATATCAATCCTTCAAGGCCGAGCCATTCAATGCACGTTTCGCTGCCATGGACTAGAACTATAGAAGTATAGAAGTGCTGATGGAAAAGGAGCCGCATTTAGGTGTATGTGTGTGAGACTTTCTTTCGTGCTATTTCGATGGGGTTGGAAGCTGCAATATCTGAGGCTGCAGCAGAAGATCGACACAGTTCGGGAGAATCTCCAGAAGCCGACCTTCGGTCACAATGTTCATGTGGTGTTTTATGGGAATGAAAAATGTCAGTGCTCAGGCGAATCCCGAAAACCCTAAACCCCGACAACCCCGGCCCCCTAACTTTATATACTCTACGAGAAAAGTCTTGCTCTAGAGTCCAGTAAGCATAAACCCAATAGCCCGACATCCTTAACATCTATCCTTCTGAGGTGTGCCGAGCTCATCGCCCTGGAATCCCGCATCAAGCCCCTCGGTCCTCTGAGTGTTTTTCGCAAGGGGTCACAACACCTGGAAACACACGCCTGTACCCCAAAGCCTGTTAAATCCATGCCTCCTAGGTTGATCGTGGGCGATGCACGATCCCGGAAACGACAACCTGCCGAAGCTGTACAGGACACGAAGGAAGTGGGAATGAACCCGAAGCCCAAAAGCACACCGAAGGCTAAGGCTACCAACAAGAGGCAGCGAAAGCAGTGATCACTAGAAGATCGCATGAAGTTTGCAGTGTTTTCAGAGTGATCGTTAAAGGATCGCTTGATGTTCCAACAGGAAGTGTGTGAATACACATGCTACTGACTGACTCTTGCCCTTAGAAGCCGTGCGACTTCCACGGCTGCCCTGCCGAAGAAAAAACAATGCATGCTCGTACTTCTCTAAATGTAAAGCCGATCGCTGCATCACCCTATCAAGACCATAACACTCCCCCAAATGCCAGGTCCCAGTGTTGCTGCAGAGCGACTAGCTTGGAACTATGCCACCGGGGCTACCCGTCTCCATGGCCATGCTGTTGGCTCCAAGCAAGTTTACAGGGCCTTTGTGTTGAGGGTAGGGGGCTCTAAACTTTTGAGGTTCGGGGTTGGGTTTAGGAAAGTTTATAAGATGAACAGGGTTCTGTGGCTGTACCGGGTTTACACTCTGCTAGATCGAGTTGTTACAGGGCTTTAGGATTTAGGGTAGGGTGTTGTAGTGGGCTGCTGGAACCTTGCATGTCTCAGGCTCCATGCACTGGCATCATCCAGGAGGCCACTTCAATCATGGACTACGACCTGCGAGAAGAAGGCTCCCGAGGCGCAGCTGTGAGGCGAGTTTGCCCTGTACTCCACGAACTCTATGGGGCTCCCGAAAGTAAATCTGATCCTCGGCCCGCTGAAGTGTCCGAAGCCTTCAGGAAGTTTGTTCCAAGTGAAGCCCCAAGCTTAAAAGCGAAGCTAGCTTTGTCCTACCAGCGAAGCCCGAAAGCTTTAAAGGTTTTCTCGTTACAAACACAATGGGTGTAATTCGGATCCTCAGGAAACGGTGGTTTCTCGGGCCTTGGCCAAGCACGGCTTACGACTGGATGTTCCGATATCCTTTACCACACTGGGCGGCTTCACGGAATACCCTTACATCGAGGTATCTTCCTGGATACGGACTTTAGACTTGAAAGGCAAGCTGCATGACTTCATCTCTGTTGGTGAGAGTGCTATGGCATCAACTCTCGAAGCATTTTGGGCAAATTACAAAAAGAGACACCCTTCCCATCAAGTGTTCCAGAGTGACGTGAAACTACAGAATGCTGTCCCGGTGTACTTACACGGGGACGAGGGGACGACCTACAAAAAAGACGGGGCTCTTTGCATATCTTTTCAATGCCCCCTCGGCAAAGGGACACGGACCACTAAGTTGGGGGACCTGGCTGATATTGGTGAAGCTGCTCGCCAACGCTTGAACTATGTGGGCAATTCTTTTGAGACGAGGTTCCTTCTGATTTGTGCCATGAAGGACTATTCCGCTTTCTCGCAATTTCCTTCCGGTTTCTCGCAATTTCATACAACCGGGCAATAATTAATATTCACTTAAGTTTCTGTATCTATGTTGTTTTGATTCCACAACCGTAAACCTACACTGCTGCACGCTGGTAGGAAGAGTATCGACTCCAGCCGGACATGTACGACGAGGTTCTCGAAACTGCTGTGAGATCGCTGGACGATGCTAGCCGGCAGGGAGTGGTTCTCAGGTCTGGCCGCAGGATTTATCCGATTCCGCTGGGCCAGAAGGGTGATTGGTCATACCTCGCGACTGGGATATTTTGAGCTGATTAAAGTGTTTGGGTTAGAGTTTGTTTTTTGTTATGTATGTACTTAAGACACGTCGTTTCTGGGGTTGATATAAGTTTATAGGGTGTCGGGATGCTTCGTTAACGAAACAACATTTGTGGACAGTGTTGGAGGTAGCCTCTGCAAAGCTGGAGAGATCCTACCACAATGGCCCGAAGGCTGCAACTAGCAAGAAGCCTTGCACCGGCATCTGTCATTTATGCCTCGCTGGAAGACCGCAGTTTCCTTTCGAGGACCTGTATCTCTGCTTGAGTTTGTTCATATGTTGATGTGTTCCAATTTCCGCAGATAGACTACTGAATTCCTGTTGCCCCTTTGGTAAGTTTCCAAAGTAACAGACTGGCAGGTCCAGATCCGCCGCCTTTGGAAGCACCCTTTACCAAGAAAAGCCTTGGCCACGAGAGCCTGTGTTCACACGGGTTTTGATGCATGAGCCCGACAAGAAAGAATCGTTCCACAAGGTGGATCTGTTCCACACGGTCAACATGGGAGTCGGGAAAACATTCGCTGCAAGCTCGCTGGTCGTCCTTCTGAAACACTGCCCCGGGAATTCAGTGGAGGAGCGATTGTCTCAGCTTACAGGCTGGTACTTGGAGTTTTGCAAAGACTCGTGGCTCCTAAGATTCTCAAGCCCTTTTGGACGTTTCTATTCGTTTCGGGGGTCTAGACTCTGAGAATACATCCTTTATTTGTGGTAATTTCGACGAACCAAGGAGAAGAGGAAAACGAGTTATATCCAACGAATCACCCGTGACACATTGGCATTTTCTTCGGAGGCAAAAGATTCACTCGGCGGCTGGAACAAGGGAGCATTGACAACGACTCTTTGTCAATTCGTGGAGTGGTTTTGCGACTTCCAGCAACTTCAAAGGAGCACTGACGAGAGGGACCGCTTGATCGCGAGCTCGAGCCGTGCTTTGAACCTTTTTATGAAGCTGCTGTATGCTTCTGAGCTGTGGATCCCGACTGCTGAAGCCACAAGGATAGCATCTGCTGGCAGGCATTTCTTGGCGGCATACAGCCGCCTCGCACGGTTGTCCTTGGACAACCGCGAACTGAGATTCACGATGATACCGAAAGTGCATCTTCTGTGGCACGTCGTCGAAAGCATGATGTCGCAATGCGAGAACTTTACCGAAGTCGAGAATCCTTTATCCCAGGCCGTCGCTATCGATGAAGATTTTATAGGAAGGTACTGCGCATTGACAAGAAGTGTATCACCCCGTTTGAGGGTTCTTCGCTCTCTGGAGCGGTACCTTACACAGATCCAACTCCTGTGGATGAGGCAGAGTTGAAAAGGAGACAATTTCAGCACGTGTCCACCCTAACCTTCCATTCCGAGGCCCATGACACACAACCAGATTTAGGGTTCAGACTTCGGTACTTAAAGCCTCTTTTCTGGTTCCTGAATAGGGGATAAGAGAATACCCGACCTGGACCCGTGTTAAGCGTTCGGGGTCGTAAACAACCGTTCGATCATCAGGATTCCTGCAGAATCCCAGAACCACACGGCCAATAACGGATCAGAGGCTTAGCAGGTAATAATACTACTAATAATAATAATAATAATAATAATGAAAGGACACTGGTTTTTTCTCTGCAGTTCCAGCATAAGCGGCTGCAGCTTAAGAACGAAGCCCATACTGTGTCAACATTGGCGTCAGGGAACCCAGAGACTCCAAAACCCCTTATAAGTAAGGAATGTACCTTAAATCATATTAGGGATCCTATTATGATTTAAGGTATGTTCCTTAATTAAGGGGTTATGGAGGCTCTGGGAACCCCAGAAGGCTCTTCTGTAAAGTCCGAAAAGGGGACAATGTGGGGGCTCTTACATGGCGGCTCTCACACACAACCTTCTGAGGCGATCACAGTAAATGCTCAGAAGATACCAACTCCGAAGAGAAGGCTTGCCCAAAGGGTCCAAGTATCATCATGGTATATACTTACTTAGACCCCCCAAAATGCCCTATAAGTATATACCAGAATGATACTTGGGCCCTTTGGCTTGGTAAGCCCCAACATCCGAGCTCCTGGCCTCTTGGCAGGCATCATCAATGCCCAGCGGCGAAGAATTTGCACGCAGGTGGTGGTCTTTCCTGTTTCGGGGATTTAGAGCTTGCGGGGTTTATATGGATGGCTGTCGAAACTATGGCCCCTTTTTGGATAAGATAAATACTAGGTGCCGTATTATATTAAAGACCCAAAAAGGGGCCTTAATACTGACAACCACCCATAGAGGCGGAGGTTTTGAGGGCACGAGTTAAGAACTTCGAGCCTGAGCCTTACCCAAGGGCTCCATAGTAGTTCTTTGTTGGGATTACCTTATAGGACTCCAAATATGAAGCCCCAAAAGGAACTACAGTCAAAGCGGGAAAGTTGGAAGATGGTTTACCGAGATTGGCGCATGGCGTAAAGCATGTTCCAACTTCAAGTTTGGCCGTCCATGTTTCAATTCTTCCAAGGTTCATGTCTTCCAACTTTGGTTTCGGCGGGATTCACGGGCATGCACAACATGCCTTCCTCCCACTGCTGTCACATGCAGAGCCACGGCCAAAATGCTCTACCCCAACTACTGGCAGGATTCAGAAACAGTCCAGGGCACGGCGGAATTACTTTCCCCAACTACGGGAACTACACCCACTGTACCGCCGCATTCAGAACTACGCCCGCCTTGGGCCCAAGTACTGCCGGTATTCACATACAGTATCATATAATCGACGGCACGGTGGAATCGCTTTCCCCCAACTACTGGCGTCTCCAGGACACCGTGAGTTTTTTCACCTGAGTACTGGCTGGAATGATCGCTTTCCCCCAAGTACTGGCGTCTCCAAGTCGCACCATCAAAGTTTTTTCCACCGAGTAAAACAGAAATTCAACAGATCCAGTCCAGCGGCGGAAAGCTTTGCTTCAAGGAAAGCCGGGATTCAGAAACAATCGAGGGTACGGTGGAATTGCTTTCCCCCAAATACTGGCGTCTCCAGGACGCGCCGTGAAAGTGTCAGGGTTTTCGCTTTCCGCCCAGTGCTGGCGCCTCCAGGACGCACCGTGAAAGTACTTTCCCCCCAGTACTGGCAGAAACTTGACCGACCCAGTCGAACGGCGGATCCGGGGATGCGGGGTTGCCCTTCCCGGGATGCGGGGTTGCAGGGTGCTGCCAGGCAAGAAGTGCAGTGCCTGCCAAGCAAAATAAAGTTGGAAGATCGCACTAACAAGCCTCCCCCGTTTGGAGACCATGCAGGGTGCCTGACCGCCCAGAACGGAAAGTTGGAAGATTGGGTTTCAAGTCCAATCGCGCCGCAACGCACTTTCCAACTTTCCGGCTTCCACCATAACCTAAACCCTAAACTCTATACCCTAAACCCAAAACCCTAAACCCTAAATATGAAGCCCCAAAAGGAACTACCATGGAGCCTTTTAGGGTAAAGGTTTAAGGTTGATGGTTCGGTTGAAGCGGACGGGGGCCTAGCCTTGCACCAGAAGGTGACCCCGGAATAAATGGCATAGGGTTTGGGACATAGTGTGCGATGGTTGTACTAGGAATCCTGACGATAAGAGACAAATTTGTAGTATAGTACTGCTCATTGTGACTATGAACCTCTTATCTAGATCTTGCCTCTAGACTCTGCATACTGCATACCACGGAGACTGCGACGAAAAAGCTTCAAACCGTGGATCTCGTCTAAAATCCTGAGCAAGAAGTCCTGAATCCTTATACCCTAATGCCCCATAATCTGGTTATAAATCCTAAACCCTCATGGCCCTTTCCTTCTTTGATAGCTCCAGGCCCTCCGAAATCCTCCAGCCACCTTTGCTGTAAAGGATGGACCGTGGGGTGTCCGATGGGACCTTCGGGTTTCCTTCGAATGGACAGGGTAGCAATGCACATCATGCTTGCTTAGGGTCCGAGGGGCTTAGGGTTTTAGGGTTTAGGGTCCTATAGTGGTTACGGCTTTAGGGTTTAGGGATTTAGGGTTTAGGGTTGTGCGCCGGGAACTTTGGGAGTCAACGAGTCTACAACCTTCACAGGTCGAACTGAAGCTGATGCAGCGACCCGGAAACAGGAATCGCAAACAGACGCTACCCAGAGGCCCCATAGTCGTTCCTTTTTGGGATTACCTTACAGGATTCTTTGTACGAGCCCCAAAAAGGAACTACTTTGGGGCCTCTGGCCTCTGGGTAGACATATCTTCCTAAAGCCATAAAGCCCTCAACCCTAACACCCTAAACCCCTAAATCCTAAACCCCTGAATCCTCAACCCTACCCTAGACCATAGAGCCCTAAACCCCCCCAAAAAAAACGTGAAGTGTGCGCCTGTGCCAGGTGGCCCTTGGATCAGGGTAAGGGTTCCTGGCCAAAAGGGCTTTTAAGGGGTTTTGGGCTCCAGAGTTTAGGGTTTACGGCTTTGTGGTTTCGGGCTTGAGGGCAGGTTTCGGGCTTTGGGGTTTAGAAGTTTCGGAGCTTAGGCTCTGGGGCTTACCTTAACCCGGAAGAACCTGCCTTTTTAAGGACCTATACAAGGAAATCATAATACGGAGACCCCAAAAAGGTAGGTTTTTCAGGGCTAAGGTGGGGTTTAAGGGCTTATGGATGCTTATGGCTTTGTTTTTGAACACGTTTTGCCTCGTCAAGAGCATCGCGCCAGCATGCACATGCGTGCTCGGACACACACACACACACACACACACACACACACACACACACACCACACACACCACACACACCACACACACCACACACACCACACACACCACACACACCACACACACACCACACACACACCACACACACCAACACACACCAACACACACCAACACACACACACACACACACACCACACACACACACATAAACACACACATAAACACACACATAAACACACACACACATATTCGTCAACAACACAGAGCATCAAGAGCAGCTTTACTCGACATATAACGATGGAAAGTTGCTCGGTGTCCGCCTGAGTTTACGTAGAGGATCATCATCATGGACTTCTCGAAAACGTGATGCACAAACAATCCAATATGCTTGCCGAGATTCCGTTGTTGTTTAAGCTTGGGTAAGGTCAAAACGGCATTATGCAAAAATGCGGTTGCCCCCTAGAGTAGGCTTTGGGATAGCTAGGGTCAACGCAAACCCGCCCAAAACGAAGCCATCTCAAATCTGAATCCCAAGTAAAGTTCTTATTAAGACATTGACAGCCTAAACGAATCAACCCCTAACCTGCCCATTCCCCTAATGTTCCCAACCCTGAACCCCAAATTCTGCCCGAAACCCTGAACCCGACAGCCTGAACAGGGGTCAGAATTGAGGGTTCAGGGTACATGTAGGAACCTGATAAAGAAACCTTGGTCATTGCAACCCCACAATAATGGGATTTATAAGAAGAGCACTTATAAAGAACGAGGAATTCTTGATGAATCATGCTCAAGTTGATGGCTTTGGGCTCGGGGACCCTAAACCCTAAACCCTTATAAACCCTCAACCCTAATGTTCTCACAAAGTCCCGAGCTCTTCGACAAAGCCACGGGCCGACGCGGCATTCAGCGCCCTTGTCTGGCTGAAGTTCCTTTGGTGGGAGCCCAAAAGGGGGGTGTAAGATTCTTGGGGTAGGGATTCCTGAATATGAACCCTATTATGGGAACCCTAGGCCTTACTAAAAACCCATAGGCTAAAGCCCGGGTTGGCCTCCTATGATCCTTCACTCTTGCGGCTCTGGGCTTTTACGGCTTATAGGGCTTGAAGGTTGAGCACTCAGCCGTGCTTACCAATACGGCAGGAACTAGTCCTCAATACTGCTGTTGATCTTACCATTAAATTACTGTTTTTCTTGGTGTTCTGATTGCCGATTTCAAGAAGTACTATTCTTGCGCGTAGATTTTGCTTTCTACGACCTCTTGACGAATATTGGAACTATCATCGTTGTCAACTGTTGCATAGCTCATCGAAGGGTGCGGGGGCAGGGCGGGGGCAACCCTAAACCCCCAAACCCTAGAGCCCTAAACCCTCAACCATTCCAAACCCCTAAACCCTATACCCCGGAACCCTAAACAAATGAACCCCTAAACCCCTGGAGCCTAAACCCCCAAACCCCCAAACCCCTAAACCTCTAAACCCCTACACCCTAAACCCCTACATAAACCTCTAAACCCCTACAGCCCTAAAACCCTAAACCCCTGAAACCCTAAACCCCTACAGCCCTGAATCCCTGAAGCCCTAAACCCCTAAAGCCCTAAACCCATAAAACCCCAAAGAACAACTAAACAGTCACCGAGTCGCAGTTTCACTCCG